AATTTTGCTATACATAATATTAGTAAAAATAAAATTAATTCTGAAATTTTAAAATTAAAATTTTATGGAAGTTTTTTGAAAATGAAACTATTGAATGCATTAGAAATTTGCATATATCAGTATCAGTAATTAATTTTAATAATTAAATAATAATTAAATATAAATACTTGTATTGTGTAAAATTACCGAATTAAAATTTAACTAATATGAATAATAAAGTTAAATAGTTTGAAATAATAATTAATGAAATGAATGTTTTAATTTTTGCAATTTAATGGATATGGCGCCACCTATACCACCTGTATAATGTCTCTCTCTCATTTGTCGGCTTCTTCAAAAGGTATCGGATTTTCATTGATCCTTCTGAGTTAATCCTCTTAACCTTTTTTAGTATAGACATGGGAGTGTAATCATCAGTAAAAAAATTCCAATAATGAGATATTTCAAAAAAGAAAAGGAATTATCTGAAGTGGATAATATATATCTGTGTATGTGTGTGTATGTGTGTGTGTGTGTTTGTTATGTGTTAAGTGTTTATGGGTGTGTATGGGTATATATGTATGATAGAGTATCACTTATTGTTATGTTAATAGTCATCAAACAACGGTTAAATCCCCATCAAACTAAATTTAAAGGATTTTCTCAAAAATCCTTTAAATTCATTTTGCTCCCTTACCATATTATAATTCCTTCCACTCTCTCTCTCTCTCTCTCTCTCTCTCTCTCTCATTCATCATTTTATCATATATAATTAACTTTCTAAACCACAAAAATATATTTTTTTTTGTAATTAAGAAAATTAGTTTTTTTTTTTTGTTTTGAAAGAAAATTTAATTTTAAAATTTCTTTGACAAAAAATAAATAAATTTTAAGAAATTTGATTAATAATTTTTCTTTGAAGAAGAAGTTTGGATAATTTTTCTTTAGGAGAAATTTGGAAAATATTAGGAGAAGATCGAGGATTATTATTTGGTAGGATTATTATTGAGGATTATTATTTGGTGGTACTTTATCTAGTTGGTACTTTCTTTAGTTGGTACTTTTCATTTAACAGATATTTTAATATTATATTAATAATTTTTTGCAGAAGTTTAGATAATTTTATTTTAGGAAAACTTTGGAAAATATTAGGAGAAGATCGATGATTATTACTTGGTATTTTATTTAGTTGGTGCTTCTTTATTTAACAGACATTTCAGTATTATATTGTTGAGAAAATAAGATAAGGTGAATTTTTAGATTACATTTTTAATTATTCATCTTAGCTAAATTGATTAAGAGAAAATGGAATTATAATTTTTATGTTGCAACTACGACAAATCCTTCTCATTATACTTAGTTTACAATTAATACTAAATAAAATCAGTAAATATTTATAGATAAGATAAAACTAATAATAGGAAATGTTTGAAAATGCTTTTCTAAAGGAAGAATTGAATTTGAATATTATTTCAATTCATTATTCAATCATCTCTAACTATTTTCATTTAATCAAATTCGATGATAATTATTTCTAACTTAAAAGAATTTTGAATTGAATTTTTTCACAAATGAATTTTATTTGTTTTAAGTAAAATAAATTAAGAATAATCGATGAAGTAAATTAAGTAATTATTATCATAAGTAATTATTATTCTTAATTTCTTTCATCGATTACTTTTTTGCATTTAAATTTTTTTGATATTACTACGAATTCAATTTCATTTTATACTAAAGCTTCATTATTAAGATTTATACTAATCTTTCAATAATTTATTTCAATATTTACATCAATGTATGAAATTACAGTTGCGACATTTTATCATCCAATCGGTATTCGATTACTAATTATGCTTTTTTCATATGTGACCTTTCTTCTCAATCAACCTTTTCTCATCGATACAAATAATTTTTGTCATTATTACTATCCTCCCCCTTCCAATAATACATTGATGAAAATTTTTTATTTGTTGATCAAAATTTTGAGAGGAAAATTTTAGGAAGAGAAATATATGGATAGGAAGGATGGATTCATGTTATTGCAGTTCTAATACGAATTGGAATTTGAAATGAATTTCTATTTGTGCACTTTATATATGTATATGGTAAACTCTCTTCTTTTATCCAAACAGGATTTGTTAGAAATGAAAGTTAAACAAATATTGCAAATATGAAAAGCTTAATGGATAATTCATTTCATTATTATTTATCTATTTTATTATTTCATTCTTATCTTTATCATATCAGTAATAAATGTTTGATAGTAAATAATTAAATAAATCATTGCATTTTATAAATTAACATTTCATCAAATTCATTTATGAAATTGAAAGTGATTTAAAATTAGCAATGTTATATCACTCCTCAAAGTGATTTATACGGTTTACATTCAAATGTATGGATTAATTTATCCTTGTTAAAGTATTTTATATCAAAATATTTTTCTCTTCTCTATTTTCGTCTCTTCTATTTATATGTAATTATTATTTATTAAAATTTAATAGAAATAATAAATTTATAATTACAGTAAGATCATAGTAAAATCCTTTTTATCTTTTCAATCCGAAAACATTTTGTGTTTAATTTAATTTAACATATCAAAAATGATTAAGCTTTTCAGGTGTATATTATTAATTATCAATTACTACTAATAATAGATGCAAAATTTCGAAGATTTTATTTATAAATATCAATCATCTAATATACTAAAACAAAGAATCTGATGAAAACATAACTTCAAAAAAAAAAATATTACGGTAAAGATGGGAAACTTTTATATTTATTGTAAAATACATTTAATTATCTGATCATATTTTGTATACATTTCTATACAAATAACTTCTCATTTTATTTGCTTTTTTTTTAAAAGAAAGCAAAAAACAAAATAAAAACAAATAAACAAATAAGTGACTGGCAGGAATTGGAAAGCTACCATTCAAACATTTAATATTCGATGAAATCACTTTTTCCCATTTTATAATCTGTCAAGAAATCTTTGTATGATTAAGAAAAGAAAGCATTGAAAAAAGGGTAAAAGTGAGAGAGAAAAAAACCTATCCAAAATAATAAATTATTTTTAAAATTCGTTATATGTAATTTTCTTGTAAAAAATTTTTCTCAAAAATTATATGGTTTTAAAGGGATAAATTCATTTTCATTCAATCCATTTATTTTCGTTTCATATAATATTAACAATTTCAAATCAATAATTTTTACTATTGAAATATAATAATCAAAAAGATTTTAATATATTTATGAAATGCTAAATAGTAATAGTAGTAGTAGTAGTAGTAGTAGTAATAGTAAAAGTTATTGATTTAAAATTTTTAAGTAGTAGTGAAATGATGAATAGTAGTAATAGTAAAAGCTATTGATTTGAAATTCTTAAGTAGTATTAAAATGGTGAATAGTAATAGTAATAGTAGTAGTAGTAAGAGTTATTGATTTGAAATTATTAAGTAGTAGTGAAATCCTTAATAGTAATAGCAATAGTAAAAGTTATTGATTTGAAATTACCAAGTAATAGTAGTAGTAAATAGTTGTAGTTGTAATAGTAAAAGTTATTGATTTGAAATTATTAAGTAGTAGTGAAATGCTGAATAGTAATAGTAATAGTAGTAATGATAAAAGTTATTGAATTAAAATTGTTAAGTAGTAGCGCAATGCTTAATAGTAATAGTAATAGTAGCAAAAGTTATTGATTTAAAATTGTTAAATAGTAGTAGTAGTAGTAGTGATAGCAAATACAAACATAAATTTTCAAAATATCTTGAAGAGATTTTAAAAAAAAAGAATATAGAAAGAAGGAATTAGGAATTAAATAATTTTCAAACTAAAAATTAAATATAAAATTCATTTCTTTCTTTGTTCGACTTTTTTCAACAATTATATTTTTTTTCCCGTTGTATGCATGTTTATAAATATATATAAACATGTTTATCAACATGAGCTTATCGCATCAATGAAATAATTCATATAAAAACATAAAGTGAAAAATTTTTTCTCTTCTGATGATAATAATGATAATAATGATAACATTGATGATAAAAGAGTTGCATGATTTGAATGTAAATAAAGCAAAAAAAACTTTGTTTCTAATTAAATAGGAAATAATGAATGGAATGAATGTCCACACCATTTATTTGTCAATTTTCTCGTCTCCTCCACCTCCGCCTCTCTTTCACCGCTTATCTGTCCAGTGGATATTAGACTACGTAAATATTTATATATATCCATTACATATATAACATATAAGTATGCATGTGTATATGCATGTGTATATATGTATGTTATGTATGTGTATGTATAAAATGTATATTTGTGTATGCGTGTGTGTATCGGTTCGTGTAAATAATTTTTAGCTGCCATATCAATCAACGGAAGATTTTTTAATGGTTCTATGTGGAATGTGAAAACATCTGCTTCGAAAAACATATAATGAACATATGTCTGGGATTGCTTCTATCATAGATATATTATATATATATATATAATATATAATTTTATAAGTATGTATATCAACCGGTGTCCCATTTCATTAAAGAGTTCTTACATTCCGAAACAAACTTTCGCATTGTAGAACATACATTTTGATAGGCAATAAATGATAGCTTCAAAATATCTACACACATCTTACGTAAATCTTTCCCTTCAATTCTAACATTCATTACACTCATTTGATTCGTGCAAAGTTATTAGATATGTTTATTTATTTATTTTATGGTACAAAAAAACACTTACTGAGCTCTATGGTCTCATAACTTCAAAATTATTAAAAGTGAAACTTTATACATTAGTGATTTGAAAGAATTATCAATGGAATAATTTGGCCAAAACAATTTTGATAATGATATATCTTATCTGATAATGATAAAAAGCGAGTTATAATATGGATCTATTGAGCATAATCCTTAGATAGACTAAAATAATTGTTAACTTTTTGATATATACTGGTGAATTCGTTGAATAGCTTTTCTATAAAATATGTCATCATATTCCTGTAGCTATTTTTATAATCATAACTACTGAATTGTAGTTACAATCATTCCTGCTATCAACAGATTAGATATTTTCATCTCGTTATCGTTATCATTATCATCATCATCATCGTCATCGTTGTCGTCATTATCTATCAGCTTTGTTGAAGTATTCGACGTATCATCACTGCTATCACTTTTATTGTTCGCATTATTTTCTTTTACTACAACATCATAATTATCATAATCACCATTAGTCACACTTATCATCATTATCATCACCATGCAAAATTAATGTGTAAGAAAAAAGTGGCACATTTATACTTAGCATTTGGTAGCTACCGTATCAAACATCCAATAATAATAAGTTTCTGCTCTTTTACTCTCGCTTTCTCTTTCTCTTTCTTTTCCTCTTCATATGTCAAACTCCGCCTATCTATCTTCCCGCGATCTCTCTGAGAGAATTATCTTAATGGATTAGCGGGTAAAATTTAGGATAGTGATAAGATATGTGGAAGATGGCTTGAATAGGGCGGAACTGTAGAAGAAATAGGCTCATTCCAAGTGAGGGCGGGTATAGATGTAACCCAGTGAAGGCGGAGAGATGAGATAGGAGGAGTTCAAGAGATGGGTTGGCTTTAACATCGGGAGATTACTCACTGGTGAACATTATCTTTTCCCCTCCTCCATCTTGCCTCCTCCCCCGTCCTCCTCAATTTCCTACCGATCAGCCCGGCTCAACCATCGACCACCTACCTATCTCCCGAAACATTCGTGAACAACGTGTTCGACAAGCAATCATTGGGAGGATAGTGTTGTTGAACAACCCATCATTGCTACGCTTACAACTTCATCCGTCAACTTCAATAATCGCTTACTTTCATTCCGTTCCGCATCAACATTATTAGCTTCCCTCAAATTTTCTTTCATTCCGGATTCGCATCATCGATTATCTCTATCCAATATTCAATTTCTCCTTTCCGTTTTATTATTACGAAAAATCCGTATTACCCATCATTATTCATTCTATATATTATAACATTATTAATATAGTTTTGGATGAATTGATATCAAATGTTGATTGTTTCATTGTTGTTACAACATAAAGACAATATTCTTACATTGTCATCAAATCAGTCAATCAGTCAATCATTCAGTTAGTCGGTCAGTCATTCAATCAGTCGGTTTAGTCAGTCAGTGGTTCTGCGATGACAATCTTTGCCGATTATAGTGTTGTATTCACCATCATTTTCTCGTCGCTATCACCGATTTTCTTCCAATTTTTCCACCTTTATTTTTTAATTTGCCCTCACTCTTCTTCTTCTTCCATCATATCCTTCGTCTTTTTTTGTTTGAGCTTCTTTATTATTATCGTAAAATAAATTAATAATTTAAAAAAAATTTATTTAATTTTTCCTTTCCTACTACTTCTTGTTATATTGTACCGTTTAATTATGTCTATCATTTCACACTGGCACTACCGCTTCGATTTCGATGGGTACAGCCAGGTAGATTGCGCGTAGAAATTCAATTATCAGATAGAAATGAATGAATCGTTCAGTTGATTGATGATGGCATAGTGACTAATGCTGATCAACTGGACCAACGATAGGCGAATTTTACATTTTCACGTTTTATATGTCTCATTGACGTATTCAAGTGATACGTTAAATGATAGAGACAGAATGGAAGCAATATAGATAATAATGTAAGCATAATTAATTAGCATTGAATAGAAAAGAATAGAAGTAGATGATGAAGTGTTAAATATCAGAAAAAAATTGATCTAAGGACAAGCACAGATAAGAAATGATCTAAGGACAAGAAGCATTGATAAGAATCGATATAAAGATAAGCATAGATAAGAAATGAATGGAGGACAGGCTTAGACAAATGATAACCTAAATAAAATCCGGTCAATAAGCATATTGTAAATAATGGAACAAATAGAATGCACGAAAGAAATGAATTTAATAAGTTGTTGCTTAATAATGATCAGGAAATGAATGCCTAAATTTCTTTGTTTTTTTTTTTTATCTAGGCCTCAAACATTCCTGTTTATTCTGTTTCGTTGAAAATAGCAAAAGTATACTTCTCACGATTAATCTCTCTTACCCAATCTTTTGAAAAATCTTTAAAGCATCATTTAATTCTATTCACTAATTAATTATTCATTTTGAATTATTAACAAAAGAAGTAGTCGAATTCTATAACTAACTTTAAAGTAATCATTCATAAAATATTAATTCATTTGTCATTCAGTTGCTTAATTGTTCCACTTATTTGCGATAGCAAAAATTTCAACGATTTTTAATTTCTTCTTAATTCTCTCGTAAATAAGCGCATATTATTATAATATGTATTATTTGAGTATTACAAAAATTTTTGATCCTATTTTTAATAAAAATGAAGAAATTCAAAATTTATTAAATATTTCCAAAAATGGAAATAATTAATCAAATTTTGTCATCAATAATTGTGTACATAATAATAGTCGCAACAACAATATATTGTATAATTATATTATTTTGTTGACTAACTTCTGACCTGATAAACTAATTCGTCAAAATATTTTTTAACAATATATATTTGTACTTTACAGCTGAACAACTTATTTAATTATTTCCAACTTTGAATCGTTTTTTTCTTTTTCATTTTTGACACAACCCAATAATTTACCGAACACTCAATATCACTTCTACCTCTCTCTTCGACATCATCTCGATCTTACCCGTTCTTCATTTCGTCTTCCCCCCCCCCTCCTCTTCAAACCCACCCACCATATCGGTGTGGAAACATCAGGAAAACCTGTTATCATGTCGTTGAACATCATGTTTTTACAAAACAAATCGCTGTTGCGTTATTTTTCATCTTTTTTTGCTAAACATTGTCAACCTCATTTGTTACTTCCTACATTACAGAAACAGTTTAATACATCCTTACAACTATGTACAATTTGAAAAGGTAAAATGACTACTGTTCAATGTATCATTACATTACAGTACTTATGTTTTATTTTAGAAAAATTGTTTTTTATTAATTAAAAATTATAATTGATAGATAGCAAATAGTTTTGTGAATAAATAATAACTTTTTATACCGTAGTAGTAGTTGTAGTAGTAGTAGTAGTTGTAGTAGTAGTAGTTGTAGTAGTAGTAGTTGTAATAGTAGTAGAAGTGAAATTTTCTGCTAAGCTTATCATACATTAAATAATATTTACAAATTTATCATCATATATTATCATCATATTATTACTCATATTTAATCTTGTTATTATATCCTAAATATATTAGCAAATTCTTCCTCGTTGTTTTTCACGTTCGCCAACATTTTCTACTTTCTACAATTGCTAAAAAAAAATTTTTTTCAAAATTTCAGGTTTATTTCAAAAAAAAAACAAAAGAATAAAAAAATTCTTTTTCATTACGAAAATTGATTTCTTTATTATTATATATTTGATTGCTACCTGTTACTACTCTATCAATAATAATATTTTTATTTCTGTTATCACTTTTTATCAACGTATCATCATCGTCATCATTATCATTTTAACTTATTGATAATATCCGAACAACAACAGCAACAGCAGCAACAACAACAAAAACAACACCAACAACAACAATAAAAGTAAACACCGAACAGCAAACAACAATAATAATAACGACGACTACGACGGCGACAACAACGGCGATTGGTGACATTTATTTAACTGAATACAAACATATAGTTCATTCAAGCCAGCTGCTACATATCTTCCGAATATCTCTCGTCATCTTTCCGATATTACCTTATCATCATCATCAAACGGCAACAACAACTTCAGCAATTCGCGGATGGCATTCAATCCCGCGGCAGCAGCAGCTGCATTTAATGCTCAGGTGTGTCAACAATATATACTTATCATTTATCTAACCTCGGCCATTACAAAGAAATTCTTCCGTTTTTTTTCATCTTTTATTTTGTTTTTATTCATGATCATCCCAAATAAATAATGCCGCATTGTATGGAAAAGCTCAGTTTAGTTGGTTGATCGTACTCTCGTGCAGTATTTACTTTATTTGCTTTTATCTTTTTTGTTTTTCATCCATTATTATTATCCTAAAAATTTGAAATTAATTAATTTCTAATTAATTTAATTGTGGAAGTTTTACGTTTTCCGATTAAAAAATAATAGTTTTACGTTAATTGTGGAAGTTTTAAGTTTTACGTTTTACGTTATTTGTATTTCGAAAATTTTTACTTCCACACTTATTTAATTCATTTGTTCATTTTCCTATTTCTTTCTCTTATTTATTCCTCCCTATTCATTCATTACTTTAATCGGAAAAAAACATTGAATAAATTAGAAACGAAATTTTACACGGTATAATGCTGAATATCTTACGAGTAAGTTCATTATTCTTTTATACATTTTTCAATTGTTTCAAATAATAAAATAACAAAATGATAGTTGCAAATTGAAAATTGATAGTTTAGTGACAGTTGTAGGAAAAAAAAGGAGGACAAAAAAGTTGAAAGTTAGGAAAGAAGGAAATAAAAGATACCTGAGGAATGAAGAATTATTTTCGGCACAAAATTATTGTCCATATTATTGCAATATCCATTAGAGCAATGATGCAAATTGATTAAATCAAATAATTTGAAATTAAAATTTAAGTTATTTGAAAGGTTTTTTTTTTGAAATTGGAATTCAAAATTTATTACAGTTGCTGGCTGCCTCACAACCATCAACACCAGTTAAAACAGAACCACCGTCTGCATTAGTTGGCAATGTTCCGGTTGCAACCTCAATAAGCAGTAATAATGCTGATGAAATTGGTGGTGGCGGTGATACGACAAGATTCTTGAATGCAAGTGGACCACTGTTAACACCCGGTGGTTTAGCCGGTTTTCCACATCCAATGGAACATGAAGCTGCATTCCGGGCAGCTATGGTTCAGGGTGCATTACCTTTTCCTGCTATTTATCCCGGTTTACATCCTGCAGTAAGTTTAATATCAAGTATTCCTTTATAAGTAATGTTGATTTTCTTTTCAAAGCTCTAATATAATTTAAGTAATTGATAATTTCACAAAGCAATTCCTATTTCATAATTTTCTCTTTCCCTTTTCCTTTCTTTCTCTCTCTCTCCCTCTCTCTTTCGATTTCTCATTCAAAGAGTTACAGTTTCAATTTGAATAATTTCCAATATCTGTTATGTCATTGTGTTTTCTTATCTTGTTTTCAACTTCCAAATTTAACAAAAATTTCAACAGCAGCATGAAATTAAATGATTAATA